TCCTCCTGTCTCACTATCATGCTTAGTCCCCACCAGGATTTCAGCACTTCCTCTTTGTTACATTCCCCTTGATCGTGCCCTACCTGGTCTCTCACACCCACCTCCGCACCAATTTGGATTGCTTGTTGTTCCCTTGTCCCTGGGTTTGTTAAAACCTCTTCCCTTCCCCCCACATCTCCTCCTCTCCCATGTCCCCCGGGAACTGTCAGTCCCGTTGTTTTCTTATGGATAGGAAAGTTGCCCTACTTAAGTGGAAGAACAAAATAGGAGACCTCTTGCTTCCCAAATTCAAAACCTATTACACAGCCACCGTGATCACAGCCTGGCACAGCAATAGGTAGAAAGATTAGTGTAACAGAATAAGGCGCACTGAATAAAGCTAACCACCTACAGACAACTGCCCTTTGTCAAAGGGCTGGAAACATTAAGTGGGGAAGAAGCAGTCTCTTTAACAAAGGATACTGGGAAAATTAAATCGCCATCTGCATATGAATGAAAGGAGACCCATACCTCTCCATACACTGAAAGGAACACAGGGTACATTAAAGACCAAACTATAAATGCCAGGACAATAAAGACAGCAGAGAACATCCAGATGTTGATGAACATGAAGAAATGCTTGCGATCACTCACTATCTGAGAGATGCAAATCAAAACAATGCTTCACACTGGCATTGACAGTAAAGTTACAAAAACAAAACAAAAACGGGAATAAAACTGCTGGAGAGTGTGTGGAGAGAGTGGAATCTTCACACACCGCTAAGGAACTGTAAAAATGTGCAGCTATTGAGGTGCTACATCAAATAAGTTGAAATAGATATTCCGTATGACCGTTATCTTCCATATACCTATGCAAGGCATATACCTTAAAGAAAAAAAAAAATCCATAAAATTGAACTCACACTGCAATACTCCTTTATATTGAAAGCTGATGGAAGTAACCTAAAATGTTATCAGTAAAGTCCATGAAGAATCTTTGGTGCATACACACAGTGGAATGTTAAGCGTTGACAAAACAACAAAGAAATCACAAGCACCACATGGCATAGATGGATTTGGAGAATAGTATACTGAAGGAAATACATCAGTCACAAAAGGACAAATATTATATGAGACTGTTCGGTAGGCTAGCGTAGGGCTGGGGATGTCCGTTAACACATGCCCAGAGGGCCAAGCTACGGAAACAAAGGAGTGGTGCACTGCACATGCTTAGAGGTTCAGGTTTCCCGCAGGTAGACATGGGTGGACACTGAACCTGGATTGGCCCACCTAGGCCAGGTGAATTCAATTCAGCCAATGGGGTCGATCAGGGGTCATCCACCATGCCTCCCGGTGGAATCCTTGAAAAGGCAAGAGCACAGAGTCAAGAGACACTTTTTGCGTGACACCGAGCAGCTTCCAGCCAGGCTGCATCTCTTCAGGGAGGAGTCCTATGGGTGCCGTGTAAACCTGAAACTTCTTCTTCCAATTCTCATAAAACTCACTTGGATCACAAACCAGGCTTCAGCGTGAATTCTTTTTCGCACGGAGCCAAGGACCGAGGTATAGATCTAGCTCCAGAGAGATCTAACAAGACCACTGTTACAAAGAAACATTTAAAAACCAAGATTTTCTTGCAAAGGAAACAGTTTCATGATTACCAAGGGGGAGGTGGGTAAAGGAAGGAAGACAAGGCCGACATGCATTAACTCAGAGGAAGGGAAAGGTAAAGTGTTAGGCCAGGTTAAGGAGAGAAACAAATCCAGTGACATTCATATGTATAAGAAAGAATTTTACATTAAAGGGTAATTGTGTATTCAGAAAATAACCCATTTCAGGCCAGATCGGGTCTATAAGTCTGATATTAGCCGATAAATCCGATACTAGTCTGTAAATCACTCTTCAGACTCACAATCACATGCAGTGATGCAAAATTCAGGAAGTCCACAGGCCAGTGGGTGCAAAGTCTTGTTATTCCAATGGCGGTGGACGTATCTCCAGGGATCTGGCTTGCCATCAGCGTGGCCTCCGTGTGCCTTGTCGAAGGGAAGGGGAAGCAGAAAGAGAGTGTGTGAACTGCTTCGTGAGAAAAAGAGAAGAAGTTCCCAGAATCCTCCTCATGAGAAGGTCACACCCACAAGGGGGCATCATCAGGCTGTGACCTGATTGACAGGCCGGACGCCACCTCTTCATGCTTAAAACTTCAAGTTGACATGAGATTATGTAACTACCACAAGTAGTATGTCAGAAGTGGGAGAAATATATAAATGACAGGGTGTCGGGGTGGGTAGGTCAAGTTATTGAAGGGGATAAAGAAGTTTCTTAAATTGTTGAATAAAAAGATGATGATTTACTATGTTTTTCAGTATATGAACCCGAGGATCTGTGAATCCATAGAAACAAAGTCTAGAGTAAGGTTCCTGGAGGATAAGGCAGGGGACCTAGGGGTGTCCGGGTGGGGCAATAGTGAAGGAGGGAAAGAAGGAATAAAATGTTTTGAAACTGGGGTAGATATTGTACAACACTGCTTGATATGACTGAACTATTAACGAGTTTGATGTCTGGATTATGTCCTAACACTCTGATTTAAAAAAAAGAAAAAGATGACCTGAAATGTAAATCCCCACTCAATTCACAACAAAAAAATGTTTTAAAAAATGTTACTGCAAGAAGTCTAAGCTTTACTGAAGGCATTAGTATAAAACACTTTAAGGGCTCAATCATCTTGGTCAAGAAATTTTTGAAACAGCTCCCTGGCCCACCAAATGGGAAGAGGTCCATATTTTCACTAATTTCAAAGAAATATAATCCATGGAATGCAGAAATTATCAAATTAACCCATTATTATCACATGCAGGTAAAATTCTGTTGAAGATCTTCCAACAATGATCGCAGGAGCACATTGACAGCTGCCAGAAATTCAAGCTGGATTCAGAAGAGAATTTAGACTGAGGGATACCATTCCTGACACAATTGGATCTTGTTTAAAAGCAAATAATACCATAAATATGTTTATTTGCATTTTATTAACATAAAAAGGCATTAGACTATGTATCATAATAAACTATTTATAGCATTGAGAGGAATGGAAATTTCAAAACACTTAATTGTTCTCAGGTGGACAGAAACTGTGCTTGAACAAAGAGGCAGTAATTTGACTAGCACCCGGGAATATGATCTGGTTTCAAATCAGGATGTCAGGTTTGTGTATTAGGATACATGTAATCTTAAGCATTTGACTTAGTTATATGTTTAGTATGTACTTATATTTATTGATACAGTAAGTATGATGGTGGAATGAAATATAACCTAGTGTATATTATTTTGAAGAGTGTAGTTTCAAAGGGCTATAAATGAAGGAACATAAACTAAGACTATAGGGATGATAAGAAGTAAAAATGACAGAAAAACAGTTATGTTTTATTTTCTACTCTTGTTTTAAAAAGACAAAGACAAATGATAGGGGTCATAGACAGACTGCAGTGGACTGAGAACTGCAGTGTAGTGCACGTAAGGAACTGTGGGTGAGATTGTAACTTTTTTTCTAATCATTGACAGTAAAGGAAAGTTAAGAGGATGCGTGTAATGGTAGGTTGGCTATTATTGTTTTCTCCTTCCTTTTTAGAATTTTATGAGCATATATAATTCACATATTATACAATTTTTTTCAATCATTTTAACAATTGTGCAATTATCACCACAATCCACATTTTCTAAAGAAAAACCGAACTGTTTCGTCTCATACTAATTGTTTGTACACTGCATATTTCTGACCAATATGCGCTCCCATGCTCCTGAGTAATTGTGTGAGGCATGGTTGACCAGAGAAACAAATCCATTTATGTGTCCGAAAAAGCTTTAAATCAAGAAGCAATTATATATCAAAAACCCCATCCCAGTCCAACTCAGGTCCATAATTTTGATACTTGTCCTTAAGTTGCTATTAGACTCATGCAGTCACACGCAATAAAGCTAATGCAAGGAGATCACAGACCAGGAGTGCACAACTCAGGGAACTCTCCAGGGGGCCAGCAAGCTTAAAGGTGAGGCAGGAGAGAGCTATGGAGAGAGATTCCCTGGGGTCTTCTTAGGAGAAGGCGATGCCCACAGGGAGGCAACATCAGGCTGTGACCTGATTGACAGGTTGGATTCTACCACAACACTTGTATGTAGCTTCAAATTGATGTCAAATTCTCTATCACAATACATTTTTAAGCTTATGTCTTTGTTCATGTTTCATTCAAACTGATCAGATTTTGTTACCAAGCAGCATTTGATGAGGTCCACTGATTTAGGTAATCCGTGAAGATTTTTTTCATAACAGCTGTTGTACAGTTGACTGGCACTCTAAGAACAGTAGAACACACATTGGCTCTCAGAAACTGATCCTGGGTTTTGAGGAAGGTGGGTTGGAAAATGACCTATGATTAAGTTGCCTCAAGGTCACGGAATATATATTTTGCTTAGTAAATATCTCAAAGCAATATATTTTTTTAGGGAAAATAAAGGCTTTAATTAGACAAACAGATGCTAGTCATTTCTATGTTTCTGGACATCAACCTCGAGTCGGTTCTGGTTAAAGGTAGCTGTCCTTCCTCTCTTCTCCAAGAACTCCGCCTCCTCCCCTGAAAGAGTTTGTTTTCAATTGGGTGGTGTTCTCCCCTCTTCCCTGGCCCGTGTGTGTGGATCCCATGACCCCTCAGACAGTTCCTTCTGGAACAAGTTCTCCTCTCCTCCTCCAGCCAGCCCCAGTGGGTTCACCTTTTCAGGTTCTGGGGCTAGGACAGGAGGTAAGACATGTGATTTGCTTCCTCATTGGGGCTCAAAGCAATATTTATGGGAATGCTCTTTCCCAAGGTTTACTGGGCCAAATTTGTTTGTGTACTATTCAATTAGGAAATTGAATTCACTATTCTGGGATCTCAGGGGAAGGCTTTCTGAAACCCTCACTTTGCTTTCCTCACTCATTCATGCTTTAAAGCAGAGGATCAGCAAATGGCTGTCTACTCATCACCTGTTTGGATAAAATGCTATTGTCTGTGGTTGCTTTCACACTAAAATAGAAATTATGTAGCCTGTAAGGCATAAGATGTTGTTTACTATGTCGCCCTTTACAGAAATGTTTTGAAAGCCCTAATTTTAAAATCTAGGCTTTTAGCCTGACAAAAATTATCTAATCTCGCAAGTCTTGAAAATAGAGATGCTTACCTCAGAGATTGCTACCCTGTTTCCCCCAAAATAAGACAGTGTCTTATATTAATTTTTGCTCCCAAAGATGTGCTAGGTCTTCTTTTCAGGGGATGTCTTATTTTTTCATGAAGAAGAATATGGTACACATTTATTGTTTTATTGTTCTCTTAAAAGAGACACCGCACTTCCTGTCTGCTCCGGCTGTGCTGCGGCCAACAGGGAGCTGTGTGGCGGCGCCCGCTGCTATGGTTCGGAGTTACAGTAGCTTCGGGGGGGCCTTATTTTCAGGGAGGTCTTATTTCCAGAGGGTGCCATATATTTCAGCAAGAGGCAAAACTGTAAGTAGGTCTTATTTTCAGGGGATGTCTTACTTTCGGGGAAGCACGGTATGAAGTTCAAGACGTGAGGTATCTAATTGGCAGCAAAGCACTCGGTGGTAATGAAGTAAAGACAATGCCCTCCTCTTTCCCACAGAACTCTTACCGATTAGGGCTCCAGATTGGGTCCTCTTTCTTTGTACAGAATTCTGAGAAAGCTACTGAGGGCATGTTACAGGCTAACTGCTCCTTCTGAGCTGACCTCCACCAGTGCAGTAAGCAGAGAGCATAGCTCCTCTAATACCCAGATGGTCCCCATGTTAGTGGCTGGATGTTAAGGCACATCCAGCAAGCAAGATATTTTTTCATTCAAGGCCAATTTCTAAAATATCCTTACTAGTTGAAAACAACACTGATTAGATTCTAACTTCTATTCTTAAAGTATCTTTAGAATTATACTTGGCTCTTTGACTTCATTGTGTCTTCCATTTGTGCCAGTTGCTCTATGAAAATGCAGTACTTACTAAAAATCTTATTATTAAAACTTATAATCCTAGGATTATGTTTGTAATACCTTTTTTATCTAAATATGCTCATTAGACAGTGATATATTGATCGCTATTTTCAACTTCCATTTATGAAGATTTCTTACATATGTAACCTTGAAAGTGTTTACATATTCAAAAGGTATACTTATAAAAGTAGAGGAAACATGAAAGACTTTATTTTTCAGTTGCTAGACGAACTATTAGTCACTGCATTTTCATTCAAAAATAAGTGTAATTTACTTTTCTGAAAAGTATATTTGCTTCCTTGATTTGCGTTTTTTGTTTGTTTCATAATTAAAATACCTTCACCATTAGAAGAAAAGTATGTGCTATAAATCCATGACAACGCTTTTTAGTGGTTCTGAGACAATCTTGCTACAGGCATTTCTCTCATGTATGGTAATTTCATAACTTAAAATTTCCTTTAAAATCACCTCATTTTAGGAATGTTAAATAAATAAATATAACGTTTTTGGAAATCAAACTTTTTTAAGATTTGTAATATTCCTAGAACATTAAGTATATATTTTTAAATTGCTGTTAAGAATACAATGCCACTAACTCTTATCTAGCAGTATGTTGATCATTTGTTAACAAGTGGACATGTATTTTTCTAATTTGACCTTATGTAAACCCCTGTAGTCATGTATTTGGTTCTGGATATTATTCAGGTCACCTGTGCAGTGCAATCTGAGCATTTCTCAACCAGCGTCCCAGTTCAGATCAATTTATCAAGAAGATCATACAGGTTTAGATAAAAAAACAAACCTTAAAAAGATATGCACAATCCTATATTTAGAGTACCACCTGGAAAATTACAAAGATGTAGACATAATAGTAGAAGGTAAACAATATTGAAATAATAATATTGAAATAAAACAAAAATACATGAAAGGTTTTTATACTTTCATAAGATTCAAAACATTACATGTCCCACATCAGGAAGATGAATGTGCCATGCCGCAAAATCAAATAGAACAGATGGAGAACCAAAGGCTTGTTCCATTATTTAGTAACAAAGCTATTTGATTAATGTATTAGTATAGGTACTTAAGAGAAACAAATCCAAAGCAGCCCATGTATAAGAGAGTTTTATGTAAAGAAAGTGTGCATCATGAAAACATCCCAACCCAATGCTGCCCAAGCCCACAAGTCCAACATTAACACATTAACCCAACACCAGTCCACAAAGTCCTCCACCTCACAAAACAGAGGCAATGATGCCGACTGCAGGAGGAAAGCTGAGTCAGTGAATAAATAAGCATCTCAGCACTAGCAGGGGTCTCCACACGGCTGCTCCAGCACCCAGGGCTGCATCGGGATAGGTCCATGTGGCTTCTCCTTGGGGATGTCTTGTAGGAAGTCAATTTTGCAAGCTGAAGCAGGGAACTGCTAAGGCAGCTGCACCCTGGTGTGACCATCACAAACAAGAGACCCAAGAACTAGAAAGGTGAGGCTCACCACCCATTTATCCCTCCGCCTTTCAATTAGCCCCATATGTGATTATCGGCCAGGTTGGCACAATTAACTAATTCAATTAAGAACAACTATGTACAATCACTCACAAGGTCTGTGTCTACCAGGTACTTAAAGTGATCTTCTGCACAACCCAGGAGCTAAATAATGCACTGGGCCTGGAGCCGGGAAAGTACTGTCTTCTGGCCAGATGCTCAGGCTAAGCAGTCACAGCTGGGGACAGATTCAAAGGAAACCTTAAATCATTACACAAACAGACTAGTGGTGTATGTATTCCAAAATACAATAAAAACTTTCTTCACTCTGATCTCCTTTCAGGTTTTTATCATTTTGAGGAAAAGAAAGGAAAGAGTAAGAAAATGCAGGTGCAACTGTGAAAATAGCCTAATAAGAGTCCAGTGAAGAGTTGGGAGGTATCCCATACTGCATAATATTGCAAACATGAAACACAAATGGGTACATGTTAAACCAAAATCCAAAGCACTCCTTATTTTCTTTATTTTCTCAAAACCATTTTATTGGTAGTTAAAATAGATGATATTACATAGTTCAATCACATCAAGCAGTATTGTACAATTGTTGCCACAGTCAGTTTCAAAGCATCCTCTTCATTCCTGAACTTGATATCAGCTCCCATTTACCCCCCCAATCACCACCACTGGACCCTCGCTCCAAAACCTTTATTATCCCTATAAGCTCATCAATCCTGGGTTTCATATACTGAAAACCAGAAAAAAAACATATAACACAAATTCAAGAAGGTGACCCCCAATGACATAACAAATATGAAATGAACCCCAATATGAACAAACAATAACAATAAAATACAGAAAATGTTGAAAACCACCTAAAGCCTCATGGGCATAAGAATGGGGGATCAACGGACATGGTTTTAACTATTCAAGTCAGGTCTCTCATTTTTTATCTTCTATAGTCATCTCTCCAATGTTTAGCAACCACTTTCATAGAGGGAGATCACCAGAGGCTTCTTTCCTATGTAGTTCCCACAAATGAACCTTGGGCTCCCACTGTCATCCATAGCCTCTGCAAACTAGATTCCTACAATTTAGGCTCTGATACTATTCCCTCTTTCAGCTTTGTATTATACGATCTATAATCTTTCGGTGACTGATTTTGTGTGCCTCTTCCATGTGGCTTTTGTTAACATCTCACTTAGATGAATTCTTGTTTAGAAACAAGGCTTTAGGACCCTAGTTGCCAATTTATCTGATAGCCGGGCACCATCTAATTTCTTCACCACATTTTGCTGTGACACCCATAACTCCTGTGTTTCCTTCCTGGGGAAAGCATTGAGCAGGGCCATGATGTAAGAATTAAATGTTCTTAAGTTGGAGCTAGGATTTAGTGTGACCCCAAAAACCATTCCTGGATCTATTTTGTTTGATTAAAATTTTTTTTTTTATCTGTCTTTGGCTCCCTTTCAAAACTTCCTTGTTAATTCATGGTAGAAAATATTATTGACCATCCCCCTGGGGCATAAGGATCTTCCATTAATATTGTCTTTGATTATCCCCTGGTGCTAATTTTTTTAAAGCTCTGTTGAGAGAGAGAGTTTGGGTCAATGTAAGCTAGCTCTACATCACAGTAATCGAATTATTCACCTGTCTAGAATCAATCCTTTCATGGCTGGACACTACACAAACAATGGGGTTAATTGCCAGGGAAAATTTATAAAAATAATCACTGCGAATGCCAATCACAGGTTTGCGTGAATAGTATTCATCTTAATGAAGTACATAGGGCATTAATGTAGCAAGACCATGATTGTTCGCCTACCCACAGTTGAACAATCTTGGTACAGCTGTCTACTAAGCTTCCTCGGACACCAGGTATTTTCCATCTTAAGTATTCAGGTTACAAGTGTGTTTGAGGTAGAGTCCAGTACACCAAGTGGATTTTCCCCATTGGATCTCATGGATGCAGCCCTCTGTAGCACGCTATGCAGCTTGAAGGTCAGGACTCAATGCCCCAGCATTCCACAATATTGGGCCTGGGTTCCCCAGGATGCACCTAGAAGACCAGGTCAATGTGGCCTGTTTGGTGCATACACCAGGGACACTCCCCACTTTGGGTCCCCAAAAGCATTTTCATTCATTGTTTCCCCCCCACTGGATGTTGGTCCTCATGCTTTTCCTACCAATAGTGATGCATTTCTGTTCCCCCCACATGTTTGCTCCCTTTCCGCTGTCCTGACTTGACCTTCCCATCAGTATCCCTCATTCCTCTCACAGGAATCTCTACCTACCTTGGGGGACCTCATCAGAGCTTT